CTAACTAAATAAGAAAAACTTTAAATGTAATTCAAACAGGAAACAACTGATTCAGGACATTTATACAGCACCTATTATGTTTCAGGCTCTTCATGTGCATTATAATATCTAACTCAAACAAGCTATGGTTTTGCCTTTTTAAAAAATTCTCATTTGATCCTTTACAAATATTTTCCTATTATTTTTCAAAGTAATCTAATGCACATGACAACATACATAACACTTTAGAACAACTTATAATGAAAGCAATTATTTCTCATCCTACCTCCCCTGTCTACCTTCTCAGAAGCAACCATTTTAAACCATTTCTGGTTTTGGTTTTTCTCATAATTACCTCCCTAAATAATAGGCCTCCAGAACAAACTGCTGACTTATCAATTTAAGACATTATCTACTGAGTACCCAGACACAATGAGGATTTGGTTCATTGCTAAAGTCTTCACTTATGCTTCTAATTTTCATAGTTAGTTTAGCTTTTTTAATCTTTTACTTCTGTGCCTTCAAATAATACTCCTTTTTTAAGTGATATCTTAGAGTTTCATTTTTTAAAATTGGTTCATTAAAACTTCAAAGAATACTGATAGACACCAGACTACAGGGTCATATTCTGATTAGCATTATTATAAAACTGTCCGTTAAACGACTGCTCTATTATCTTCCCTCCTTCCTGTCTACTTTTTTTATTATAAGATATAGAGATAGAAGACTGCATAAAACATTTATAAATAGCTTAATGAATAATTATCAATACCCATGTAGCCCCATCCTAAGTCAAGAACAGAAACATCAAAGTTCCATAAAGCCCATATGACACCCCCCCACCAGTCATAGCCCCCATGCACCCCAGAAGGAGCTATCATCATCTCAACATCTGTTATGATGATTTTCTATTTTTTATAGTTTAAAACTCTGTGGCTGTATCTCTAAACAATTAGTTTTGTTTCACTATCTTTCAACTTTAAATAACTAAAATCATTCTAACTGAATTACTTTATAAGTTGCTTCTTCTGCTTAATGTCATTTGTGAGAGCCATCACTTTGTTCCATGGTAGCCAGCTGTACCTTGTTCATTCTCCTCGTTGTATAGCATTTCATTGTATAAATACACTAGGATTTGTTTCTCTATTCCATTGGTATGGGTATTTGGGACTGTTCTTATTTTGGGACTCTTATGAATAATACTGCTATGAACTCTGTTTATCTGTCCCCCAGCTTCTCTAGGTACAAATCTGAAGTGGAATTGTTGGGTTATAGGTTCTCCATATCTTTGTATTTAGTAGAAAAATGTGTTTTCCAAAGTGGTTGTACCAGTTTACAATACTCCTAACATTCCCATGGTTCTACACACTTGCCAACATTATTTATAGTTAGACTTTCATTTTCTTACTAGTTCTGTTTCTCTGGTTGAATCCTAAGTGACAGACATATTTTCTGTCTTATAGTATATATTATAGTAGCTATCTCTAACCCACAGTGGAATTAAGCAGAGTACACATAATAGTTAAATACACCTTTTATATTTTACTAGTCTGCCCAAAGGTCAAGTCCAACTGTCACATGTTACCTTAATTTCCCTCCTAGTTCTAATATTTTCTGTCTTCATCCCTTCTCTTTTTCCCTCCTTGGTTCCATCTCTAGCCTTCTATATATCTTTACTTCATCACTTTCTGTCTCTAAATAGTCCCCTGGATTATACTCTACCATTTGGAGGTCTGACAGAAGCAGAGCCAGAGCAGAGAGGTCAGTGTAAGAGAAAAGCCAAAGTAATGTGCTATCACTGAAGCCTGGAAAAGAACGTGCCTCGGGGAGGAGCGAAGAGTCAGCAGGCTTAGTGAGAGTCAGAAGCAGGCACAGGAACTGGCCGTTTTTTATTCTCAAAGGAGATTAATGGTGAAGCTAACGAAGCTTAAATTTCATGACTGGTCATTAGCATGCCTGTTAATTTTTTATATACAGTTCTGTATTATTTTGCTTACATGACTCTTCAAATTGTATAAACTCAAAGCCCATAAAACCTAGACATGGCCCCCTTCATCATTCTTCACCTCTCTGTGACAAGCTGGCCGCATATACTTCACTGACACCATTTCCTCCTTAGCTTCTTGTGACACATCCTTCCCATCCACTCTTCTCATCTGCCGTTCCCTGAATGAGATACAGGCTAGCACTTGACCTCAACTTTGTTCTTGCTACACTGTGCCTCTAGGAACTTCTTCATTAATCTCATCCTTAAACGACAACTCCCAAATTCATACTTGTACCACTGATCTCTACCTTCCAAACATGGGTAAAGAATTATGACCTTTTGAGAGCAATTTGCCATAGTACAAATTCATCTTTTTTATAAAGCCCCTGAGCAAAAGATAAAATGGATAAAAAAGGGAAGAAGTATATGCTTGGCTCAGTATTAATCATTGGCATGCTCTTTCAGGAAAGAAATAGAAGGCAGCCTATTTTAGTAAGATGAAAGCCAGTCTTTAATAACCTAATCTCAAAAGTGACATCCGTCACTTTTGCCTGATTGATAAAAGTGAGTCACTATATCCAGCCCACGCACAAGAGGAGAGGATTACTTAAGGGAGTGAATACCAGTAGTCAGGGATCATTGGGAACCATTTTAGAAGCTGGCTACCTATCACACAGCCTCTGCCCTCCAGGAATTCACAATATAGCTGAGAAAGCATTATGTAAGTACGGGAGAAGAGCTAAAGTATGCTGGCACAATGACTGTCAATCTGGGTAGGTGTTTGTTAGTTACTCTGCAATTGAAACACTGTGTTCCTGTCAGATTTCTTGTAACACATTTCAAATTGTCACTGATCTTCAGTGTGTTTTGAGATGCATCACAAGATTGCCCTCCTCTCTATCTACTCTGGAATAATTGCTAAAATAATGTAAAATGTAAGCTTGGAAATCTTACTAAGACTCCAGCTATATGGTTGTCCAATAGTTACCTCCCCCCCTTTTTTTTTGCATTGCAGTTAATTGTAAAGCACAATACCTCCATTTCATTTTCTATTTTGTGATCAAAGCTCCACCAAGATACCCCTCTTCATTAAGGCAGACGACAACTTTATTACCATAGAAATTCGATTTTCTCAACTCATCTGACAAGTTTTCATCATGCTAGAAGAAAAAAAACAACTAGTTTATTTTAATCTCTCTGAAAATAGGTCAGAGATTTAGTAATTACCACATGGGCTTATAATTAATAGCAGTACCCAGGCGATTAATATATGTATTGGCGTCCTTTGCGCATACTGTTCGTGCACCCCCTTGTTTTAAGGCAGATGAGGCTCCGGTTGGCGATCTTGCGCCTCTCATGCAGTTCCACCCCACACCATAGGGGACAGAGGCAGCCCTTCCTCACCGCCGGTTTTCCACCCAACTTCTGTCTCTGTCGGACCCGACCAAGTCAGTGTGAAAGGGGGGACATCCATAGAGACGGCAGCCCGTGCCCAGGCTTGCTTTCTTAAAAGAAGGCTTTTTACCTTGTGCTGAGCTACTTTAAAGCACATTATAATTCTGCAAGCCTCGACGCGAGGTGCGCTCCTGGAAATCTCCCAGGGCTGGGCTCTTGTGAGGCCTGGCGTTTTCTCTACCCCCTCCCCGGAGCAGAAAGGTGCAGTCCGATCGGCGGAGGCCCAGACCGGAAGCTGCCGCGCGGGCTGCGCTCGCTCACGGGCTGCGGAGTTCTGTGTATCCCGGAGTCCGGGGCCCGGCGCGTCTTCCTTCCTCGGTCGCCTGGCCTATGGGTGTCCGTGGCGACGGCAGGGACCCGGCCGGGGGGCGGGCAGCCCGAGTGGGGTCGCGGAGCTCCGGGGGCCTCTGCGGGGGCGTCGCGGTGTTCGCTGCGGTGGCCGCCGTGTTCACCCTCACGCTGCCGCCCTCGGTGCCGGGGGGAGACTCGGGTAAAGTACGCTCAGGGCCGTCCCCCTTGCCCCGCTCCCGGCCACACTGCTCGCGCTACGGCCGGTCAGCTCGCGTCCTCCGGACCCCCACCAGCACCCACCGCCGGATTTTGCGTTCCAGATCAGTTTCGGTTTCCATGCCTGCAACTGGTTTCTTTAGGTTCCAGGCTTCTGAGACCGGGCTTGTTGGTTTCACCTGGGGACTTACCGACCTGTTCACTCCCCAGATAATTTTTCTGGCCCTCAGGTTTTGCTTTCCTTTCCTTTTTAGTACAGAAATATTACTGAGTGCTTAGTGTGTTCCAGACATGAGGAATAACAGTAGTGATGAGCAGGCATCATGGAAGTGCCTAGTGCGGGTAAACGACGCACAAACTACCGATACGTGGTCATGAATTGCGACAGTAAGAGGGAAATATGATTGACAGCGGGGTAGATAGCTGCTTTTTCAGAATGCCTAGTCAGGAAAAGCCTCAGAGGAGGTGACACTTAGTTGAAGCCTGAATGTTGAAAAGAAACCCTCCGTGCAGAATTTTTGGGGGAGAACACTTGAAATTGAGTGGAAGCCAGTTGTGTCTTAAAGCAAGCTTATATTAAAATCATGGGCCATTTAAATCACATTAGTAATTGAGGTGAGAAACAAGAACCAGGTTTTGTTTTGCTGCCGAGTTAAGTGACTACCCAATGATGTCTAATAACGGCCAGTAAATTTGTACCAATGATGCTGTAACTTTGAGTAGTGAATCTGTAGATAGAAAAACTGAGTGCTCTAGTTATCTTTTGCTGCATGATAACAAACCCCCGAATTTAGAGCCTTAAAAAAACAGAGGTTTATTTTCTCCCTTTTTCTGTGGATTGGGAATCTGGGTGCGGTTTAGCTGGGTGCTCCCTCTGCACAAGGTTGCTGTCATGGTGTGGACTGGAGCTGCCATCTTCTGAAGGCTCCACTTGGGGAGGATTCACTTCTAAACTCAATCCAGTTATGTGCCAAGTGAGTCAGTTAAGCTGACTTCTTTCAAGAGAAAGTTGTCTGATGCCTGTGTTATTTTGTACCTAATCTTGGAAGTGATATATACTACTGTTCTATTTTATTCTTGCTAAGTTAGTCAGTAAAGCCAGCCCACATTTGTGGGAGAGAGTATTACACACTGAGAATACCAGGAATTGGAAATCACTGGGAGCCATCTTCAAGGCTACTTACCGCATTTAGGATCCTTGATATTCCGTTTATAAGTTATCACCTTTATTCTTTCATGTCATTTTGAACAGATAGGTGCAGTGTTTCACTGTTGTAGTGGGAAGGGAGTTTCCCTCTTTCCAAGGTTTATATTAAATAATAGAAATAACTGTTGTGAGAGTTTTGACAGCAGAGTATTGCTCAGAGCTTAGGTAGCTCTGTCCCTTAAAAAAAAAAAGAAGAAAGTATTGACAGTTACCATGGTTGAGCCTGAAGTATGGGGGTAGGATGAATAATAATAACACTGAGACTATGTGCCAAGCACTGTTCCAAGAGCTTTACTTGTATTGTCATTTTAATCTTCCCAGCAACTACTGTATGAGGTAGGTACTATCAATATCTTCCTTTTTATAGATGGCAAAACTGTAGATCACACACAGCGTGGAAGTAGGGGCAGTCAAACAAAGAACCCAGAAGACTGACTTCAGAACATGCTCTCTTAACCTGCTCTAAATTCTTTGTTAAAATCTCTCATCACATACATAGTGATATTTAAAGTCTTTAAAAAATGTGATTGTTGCCTTGTCTTTATTCATACTTTTATCTTTCTACCAAAGAATAAAGTTATCTATTCACTTTGAGTTACCAGACATTTTAGTTTGATGCTAAATAGTTGTTGCTTCTAATATTTTTATGTTCATTTTTGGGAATGATAAACTTTCCAAGGATTGGCAGTAAAACTTGTATAATCATGTCTTTAATTTTGTTTGTGTTGAATGTACTGTTCTCCTCGAATGTTTGTGCTTTATGAAATATACTTTTTAAATCAATAAACAGCACATCTCAAAACCAGTACAAAGCATGTATTATTCTTCCTGATAAGTCTTAATTTATAAATTCATGTGTGGCCTTGCCAAATTTACAATGTGCACCACTTTATACACATAGTTCGTTTATGGGCAGGTGTGCCCATGATCCTTTGGAGGAGGGGGAGGAATCTAGCCTTCACTTCTATTTGTTGTTCTTGGGAAAAATTAGTTTATCTATTTTAAGGATACTGTCTTTAACAGACTTGATACATGAAGTATAATTGTATAGTTGACATAAGAAGTATAATATAGAGCAGCTGGGTTTTGTAAAGGTTAGGCATCTGCTAACAACTCTGAGCTTGCCATCAATTTGAATCCCAGACAAAAAAGCTGGTTTTCAAACTTGAAATTACTCAAGAATTTCTAGGAAACTTGAACCCCAATGCCAGAGAATCTTGTTGGGGTGGGGATGAGGAGGGCATGCGAGCCAAGTAGTCTTAAAGTGATTTTAAAAAGGATCCAGGTAATTCTGATGCAGTTTTAGTAGGACTTAGAAGAAATCCTAGTGTGAAGGGTTGGGAGGAAACAAGGACTCTGGATTTATTTTAACTATTCACTTTCTCTTTATCGTACTCAGTTATGAATTAGTGTTTCCCATTAGCTTTTTATCAAGGATGTATTTAACAAACCGAGTAGTCCTGTCTTTACTATTTAGATTTTAGTTTAACATTTTAAAAGAGTTGGTGATGGAAGTTTGTCATGTTCCAGATTTTTTTATCAACAGAGCTCCAGTAAAGAATAACTGCATATTGACTCTTCATTAGGAAATTAGAGAAAAATAGGCTATTTTTCTTAATGTTAAATGTAATCCTAAATACATTTTAAATGGAGGAGAATGAATAGGGACCTTGAAAATCTGAACTTCACTGTGCTTCATCACAACAGAAATAGAAGAAAAGCTGATTAAAACAGTTTAGAACTGAAGATAGAACTAACCAATTCTAGAGTAACACTGAAGTATCCTTGACAGTTATTTTAAATATTTTTAGGGAAGTTATTTTAAACGTTTTTAGACTACAGACAATTTTTAAAAGTATGTTAGCTGCAAAAAGTGCTTTTGGTTTCTAAGGTGCTCTTGAATGTCTCCAGAAAGCTTAAAAGGTGCCCTTAAGTGACTGATGTGAGCAATGTCTGTCCTGGGTACCTCTCGTGCTCTCATGGTGCAAGCAGTCATTCACCTAAGGTATGGGTGTCTGAGGAGCAAGGTTGATGATATGATACATCTTTTTGTCAATCTCTGTGCAGGGTTCGAATTAGATTCTTTGTGTGACCAGAGGAGGGAGAGGTGGTGATGTTTTGACAGGTCCTGAAATGGATAGGATATTTTCAATTTGGTGGAAAAGACAGAAATGAAAACAGCTAACCAGAATATAAGACAAGCTGAGTAAATAGAGCGGTTCAAGCAAGTGCTTTGAAAGAGGAAGAAGTGATTAATCTGATAAGGGAGGGTGGGGAAGGGCATATGGAAAGAGGTGTCACTGAGAAGGTGGCAATTGAAATAGGCCTTGAATTTAGGAGAATGCTGGGTGTGCAAATGAGTGATAAGAGATGCAAACAGTGAGTAATCAGACTTGACAGAGGTGAGCAGGTGAGCACTGGTTTCATAAAAGACTTGTAAAGGGACGTTGAAGCCATAGAGGGTTTGCATGTCATGCTGAGAAATCTGAACTTCATTCAGTAAGTGGAGAGCAGCCATTGAGAAATTTTAGACTGGGATACCATCCAACCTTTTTGTGAGGTTGGGGTGGGTGACAGTAATAAATGATTTGAATATGAGGATGAATTGAAATTAGAAGGCTGTCAAGGGTAGTCCCATAGTCCAGGCCAAAAAAAGGTAAAGGTCTAAATTGGGGCTGGGGCAGTAAAATTTTTTAAATAGAGAGTATTTTTGCATTAAAAGATATAAAATAGATATTTCCTAACAGATAACAGTGACTTTTATCAACCATCAGTTGATACTGATCAATTTCTTAACACAGTATGCAGGATGACTTGGAAATAGTCCCTGGGCTCTGGATACTTAAAATATTAACAAGTAGGCATTGAATTACTGCATCATAATTTTAGAAATAATCACCAATGGTGAGGAATTACAAAGGACTATGTAAATAATATGATTTAATGGTTTGAAAAAAAGGTAATTGAGCTTACCAAAATGACTGGAGCTATAAGCATTTGGCAATCATTTAAAGATATCCAACCTAGTTAATGTAGAGGAAGTATTCAAATGCCAGAATAAGGCAGAATGGCACATTTTATGGAATGTCCAAACCTCAGATGTCTACATTTTACATATCAAGCTTGCATCTTTATAAACAGTTTGTACTAAGTTCTTAGAGGGATAATACAGCATATTACACTAATGTTCTATCAGAGTTTTTATATATTTGCAAGTGTATATGACTTTCAGGAGGGAAAATAAGCATATTTAAAAACTAGAATTCACCTATGTTACTACTGACCAGTTATTAAAACTACCAAAGATAGTTTGTTCAGTAAGACCCTAAAGGAGAAAATATTCTTAGACTAGTTCATGCTGTTAAATCTCTACAGATTTATAGTTTTATCCAGTCAAATTAATGTAAAACCCCAGTGCAAGCATTTGGATTTTGAAAACTTTGGAGGAGTGTCATTTCCTAATAGTAATTATTGGTTTTACATTATTTTTTCACAGGGGAACTGATCACAGCCGCACATGAGCTTGGAGTAAGTATTAGTTTTATTGTTTAATCAATGCTTTCATTAACAGTTTTAGGAATTAAGAAAGTTTAATTAAGCGTGGAGTAAAGTAGATTAATTTATTTTCAAACCCCAGTTTTTAGTAACTTGTAAGTACAGTATGTGACAATTTAAATTTTAAATCCAATTAAACTAAATTATAAAGCAAAGCCTTAACTATATGTACAGTAGCTGGCTTATTATCACCTCAAATTTTGTATAAGCTAGGGAGAATAAAATAAATCGGGTTAACGGTTTTAATAAGTTTATTATTTAATAAACTTTATTGTGGTGCATGATCGCTTTAGGCAAGACCCTAGGACTGTCAGCATGTTGGTAATCCGATAGCAGTGTGGTCTTTCAACTTCCTAACCAATACGGTATTTCAGAACCTGCTTTTTTTCAATAGCCTTTTAAATGACCCTAATGTACTGTGAACCCAGAGAACAAACTGCTTAAGAACTGACAATGAAATACGTCACCCTTTCTCTAAGTGACACATCATGTGATAGATGCTGCCAAATCCACTAAAGAAAATATTTATTTGTATTGGCACTAGAGGATTACAATAGAAAACCACTATACAAACATTTAGTCATTGACTTTTAGTCTATAAGTGGCCTGAGAAAGGGTTACTTTTCAATTAAAGCTAGCGTGATCTTCCTTTACTAGATGCAAACCTTCTAATTGTTGCTAATTTTTCCTTAGGTTGCCCATCCTCCTGGCTATCCTTTGTTCACTTTGGTGGCTAAACTGGCAATTACCCTATTTCCTTTTGGTTCAATTGCCTACCGAGTCAATCTTCTGTGTGGCTTATTTGGAGCAGTAGCTGCATCATTACTTTTTTTCACCGTTTTCAGGTAAAGTAGTTGATAAGTTAAAATTAATTTTTGACTAACTGGAGACATGGCCCAGGTACATACACTTAAAAAAAAAAATTTGTCGCTTGAATGGTTTTCCTAATCACTCATGTGATTTCACTTACTTAATTTATGGTAATTTCATATGCATTTGACCACAGTTGGTTGTGCTTCATACAATGAAGTGAAGGTGTCACCAGTTCATTATCCCAGTTTTATGGTTAGGCAGAACTAATAAGGTTTGTCATTTTATGAAGATGCAGGTGGGCCAGTTTAATTCAGGAATATGAAGTTCATCTTTTGGTAAATGGTGGTAAATGGTAAATATCATTTAATTAGAGTATTGCTGATGGGCCTATCAGTGCAGAGCTAATACCTAACTACATTGTGTTCTAAATATGCACTTGCATACTTTTTGAATGAGGCTTTTTACTAAGGAAATTGATTTGGCTGTGGTTTTAGTAAGGTTTCTTTTTGTTCCATTGTAGCTGTAGGGAAGATAAGCAAATTAGACCCTACTTCACTGATAAAAGGCTTTCTTAGTTTGGAAGGCTACCCTGCTTTTAAAAAAACTGGTCATTAGTTTAGGATATTGGTAAACTCATTTGTCTTTGTTGTTTCTGTCTCCTTTATTCTTAACTAACTTATGCCTGAAAGGATTATGTTGAAAAATACAAATTATAATTCCTTTAAAGAGAAAACCAAATTAAAACACTTCTTTCAAAAACTATTGCAGGTTTTACTATAAAAACAAATTTTCTATGTAAATACAGTATAATTTGAATAGACAATTTCAAATGTCATTTTTAAATACTAATATTTTAATTTCCTTTAGTCATAATACTGCCCTTTGGCTAAATTCATTTAAAATTCCCTCTTAATTATTTATAGAAAGGTAAAAGTTAACATAATTATGGCTAAAGTTTACTTTTAAATCTATTTGTGAAAAGCTTTTAGATTCAAATGTTGTAATTATTGATCATTTACTAAAATTTTGTCTATTTTATTTAATTTGTTTCTATTTCAGTTTTATAAGTTTTCAGTGATAGCCAAATCTTTAAGTATGAAATGCTTGGATTGATTAATGTTATGAATACTTTCTTTTTCTAAATTATTAGAATAATCTTTGTTAGAATTGTATCTTCTGAGTCTTATAATCAAGAACCTGCCTTTATTTCCAATGCGAGAAAAACTGATCATTTTTATTTTTAAATATCTAGGTTGGGAAATTTAGAACTTACCTTCCTGTGTTGAATGTATGAATAATTAATTTTCACAGTTAGAACAAAGACATTTAAAGAAAATTAATACTTTTATTTATTTTGATGGTTCATCTCTATTTTACAAGATCATTCTTATAATACATACATATATTTAAATGTTATATGTATGTAAATAGCTTTTATGCAAAAAAGTGATTCATTTTCTAAAACTTTTTCATGTTTTTCAATATATTAACTGTGGGTGCTATTCCACATGAAAACCATTGTAAGAATCATATATAAAAATCTTTATCTTTACAGAATCCAGATAACTTTGGACAATAATTTTCCTTTGAGTTGTCCACATTTTGAAATAGTTTTATTATTATGCTTGATTTAATGGGTTTTAGGATAGCACACCAGCCTGTGACCCTTTTTAAAATATATGCAGTCTTTGTGATAAATTTGTATGCTTGCTGACATATGTTTTAAATCAAACTCTTAAATGACTAAAGGGATATTTGAGTAGTTTTAGTCATATTGTACTTTGGAAAAGTTGCTTTCTTTCAGAAAAAGGATCTAACAATTTTATCTCTTACATACTGCATCTTAATATGAAAATGCTTCATTATTTTAAATACAAATAATTGACAAGGTACATGTCCGTTGGGAATAACCTAGTTCAAGTAGCAAATCTGTTTTGTCAAACAATAGACACCCTTCAGGAAAGAGCAGGCCATCTCTATGGTAATAGGACTAACAGTAGTCTATTGATTGAGTGGAAGAAGACATTATACAATGTCAGCTGGCTTGTTACAATTTCATTTGTTGTATGACCTGAACTTAACCTTTAAAACCTTCTTTCTGTGACTATAAACCCAACAGCAGGACACGGTTTTTGTACAGCCATTATAGTGACGGCTTTTTTCCAGTCCTAGCGTACAGTGAATGTGCTCCTTTACAGGTTGACTCATTTATCAGAATTTGTTTAGGAGACATTTAACTACTTTGTTCATTTACAGACCAAATCATCATTGTATTTTGTTGCTGGATATTGAAGGGTTTTGATCCAGGCAACAGTTTTATTCTTTCTTTCCCCCATCACTTAAGAGAACATTACTGTACATGTAGGATTAGTGCTGACTGGTGTGCAGTAAATTAATTCTTTTAACAGGTTTAGGTTTTTTTCAGGTAATTGTTCACATAGCATTCACTATATTTAGCTCTTGGGGTGGACATAAAGACCTTCTGTACTTTTTAAACAAAGACTGTATTTTAAAAGCAAATTTCTGTTTAAATGTGTTGATGTAAAAAGCTCCATTTTTTTTCAGTAAACATGACTTAGATTGAAAGAACAATTTATTCGTTGTTTCCAATTACTATGTAATTTTTGCTTTCCTCGCATCTTTCTCTTGCTTTTAAAAGCCGTAAGATGTCATTAACACTGCATTTTTTGTCAATCTTTCCTAATGGTTGGCAAGAACTCATTTATATTTGCTTTGCTCTAATGTAGAAAGCATATGAGTAAAACAGCACATTGAAAGCTGTATGTGTCACTGTAGTTCACTGAATTCAAAATAGTAAGATTATGGCAGCTGTTTCTGTATGTATTTATTTATGTTTTGTCCCTTTCAGAGGTATTTTAAAGCATGCATCAATCTAATACATTTCATTTATATGAAATAACATGCATCTTACTAATGTGTACATCTGTGTATTTAAAGACTGTATAATACAGTTAGTGATTTATAGGAACTTGGATTTTCTCTGTTAAGGCCATTGAAGTAAATGATTTTTAAGTTTGATAGCATGATTTTTAAAGTGTCCTATTTGAAATTCACATATCCTGTTAATACAAAATTTAAAAAGTTACAGGTAATGTAAATCACTAATATGAACCTTATTTAGCAATGCTTAATACTTGAATTTCAAACTAATAAGAACTATCAAACTATGTCCTATGTACTTAATAAGAAAGGAGTACTGATACCACTATCATTAAATATTAACATGCTTACACTTCATATGTTCTGGTATCACTAAAAGAATGAATATGTTGATAGCATTGTATGAAAATTCTCTACCTCAGGGAAGATTTAAATTGCATATGATCTCAGATGAGGGCATTTATTTTGGTAGTTATAAGGTAGGGATCATATTCTCGACAGGCTTCAGAGTCAGCATATACTTTTCAAACTGTCATGGACCAAATGGAACTATGGAAGAGTTCATTCAACAGTATCTGTTGAGCACTCATGTGAATTGAAAGTAAAACTGTTTTAGTCTTTATAATCAAATTTCAGTGCTTAGCTTAAAGAAATTCAGACAAAGTCACTAGCCATTAATGAACAGTTTTTCAAATACTTTTTCTAAAATACACTGTCTCAGGAAATTTGCATAAAAACTGTCTAACAATTAACATTATACAATAAAAAGTCAGATCTCATAATGTCAGCCATGTTACCTAGAATATATGGATGTTAATAGCAATTAAAAGTATATTGAAACTGCACCTGCTTGCTACAAAGAACTTGCAACCAATTTCAGTCATATTTAAATATCTTCTGGCAGATTGTTTTGTGCCAGTATTTTATTTTGTGGAAGTTAAATATTTCTAAACATTATGCTGCTGCTAAAACTAATTTGATTAAACTTTTGGAAAAGGAACACTTGATTCTGAGCACTGTGTCTGCTCATATTCTTACATAAGCTTCAGTTAAGATTCCATTCAGTAAAGAATAGAAAATTAAAATGCCATACCTTAGAGAATGTAGAATCTCCTGCTTAAGGGACATTTGGAGTTTCCAGCTCAAAGAGTATTTTAGATTATTGCCATAGAGAATAATACAAAGCTCTTCCTAATTTCAGAGGTAACTATGCATAAGTAACAAATAGTCACCAAGTTTTTGTAGTCAAAGAAGAATGGAAAGTACTGGAGCATTAATTTCCATTCAGGGAAATATCTTTCTTGATCCCCAGTTAATTGATCATATACTTCTCTCATACTTGTATTAAACTTGCATTGACTCAGACGGTTAAGCATATTAAGAGCTTGGTTCATTTGCATTTTCTTATAAGTAGAGGACCTATTAGGCTCCAATAGCAGCACTTCATTTTGAAGGGGAAAAAAAGCAGGGCAAAAACTCTTTTTTAAGACTGTAGAGTCTTTTCTGACAGCTAGTCAGAGTTAGAATTAGTTCAAGGAAATGTTAATAATGCACTGCCTGGCCTAATCCGTTTGATATCACCAGGTATCCTCCTGTTCATGGGTTAATTGCTTTAAAAGCGAAGGCAATATTCTGAGCGGTGGGCCGCTTCACCTTTTCACAGCTGTTACCATTGAGTGACAACTAAATCCCATGTGTAAGATGAGGAAGAGCTCAATCTCCAATTGGGAGAAAATTTATGTAAACCACAATCCCTTCAGAATGTGCGGAAGTCATAGACTTTCTTGATTTACTCTGCTTTTCCCAGAAAGCTCTATTGTTCACTTTCCTAAGTCCCATCAACCCTTTGTAGCAGAATATCACAGCAGCAGCAGATAGCTTGAAATATATAAATGCTATCATAGCTCTGATTAATAGCAGTGCTTATGAGTCAAGTCTGATAACAGTGCAGCTCTCCACTCAATTTCAGATACTGCTAATGGAATCTGTCTTCTCCAATTGTAATATGAGAAGGCCTAATTTGCCATGGAGCTTGGAGCTGTCACCAGTAGGGGATTGTGGGGTCAGATGGGAGCTGCCAGGTTTTTGCCCTGCAGCTTGTATCTCTCACTTTGAATAGAGCAGCCCCCTG